ACAAGGATAGCAACCACATTCAAAACGTCCACGCGATCCGCCATATTTGTTTCAAACTCGGATTAGGCACAAAAATCAAACTATCGGTCATATCTATAGGGTTATAGATATCGACAGAAAGCCGATTATTCAAATTTGGAAAGCGGATAAAAATCATTATCGTACCCAAATGGTTATGGATAGGATAATAATTTTTCGTATCGCCGCGTATCGAACCTTAGGGATAAGGTCAGATAGTCGTCCAGATACGTTGCTAAATTAGGAAGTTTTCCTAATTTTGAATATTTAAAAATATTGCGGATATATCGAACATTATCCTAAGATATCTAAATATCCACATGATATTCATGAAATATTCAAACACCCATATTAGGAAATTAAATATTCTGAAAATATCGGATAATGTTGAATTACCTAATTTGCAGATAACTTCCAAATTCGAATTCGTGGCGGATCGAGATCGGACTCGGACGACGGGCGACGCGGCGTCGGCGAGGCGGCTCACGGTGGCGTCCGGCGACGGGCGCGGTGGAGCGCGCGGTGGTGGCGACGATGGCGCTCGCGGTGGTGCTCGGCACGGTAGGGCGGCTCGACTAGGCTCCGAGCTCACGAATGAAGCGGCAACGGTGGCTGTGCTTGATGATGGGACTACTCACGATGTGGGGTGTTTGACTGTGGATCACAAGCAACTCGTCAACGTCGCGGCTAAAGATGCCCCCCGGTGGATGACTTACGGCCGATGGAGGCGTGATGGTTCACAAACGGTAGCGCGATATTCTATTGTCTGTTCTTCACCCCAATGTCTATAGTTGCCACACGTCCAAACTCTTCACGATCTCCTTGCCCACTGTCCTTATGCTTGCATGAAATACAATCACAAAGCCCACAATGTTATTATCAAATCTGGACAACACTCAGAAGAAGACAAATCCAACCCTCTGATGTGCTTGTTCGCAGCACAGGAGAAGCAGCAGATCGCGGATCGTTGGTGATGCAGGAGCTGCTCACGTGATTGATGCAAGAGGAAACCACGGTCTGTCGGGGCAGCAGCCCGTCAGCGTCTCGGTTGAGTGGGGGGCTCGTCTGGGCTTGGTCACACGGCAGTAAGCCTCAATTGGGACGAACAGCGTGTGTCGTGGGGGTCAGCACAGCAAAGCAGCGTCGGCGTCAAGGCTAGGCGAGGCGAAGCTAAGAGCAACTCGGCTGCGGGCACTCCTCCTCTCTTTTCTCTCTTCTCTCTTTTTCTCTTAAAATTCTCTCGTGTCTCTCTAAAAATCCGATTTGAAAAATTATGAGAGCCCCCCTGATTATGACGCATAACGACATATTTATATCGCAACCCTAGGTTAATTAACCGGGCTTCCTAGTCCTAATGGGCTTAGGCTTGGGCTTAGGTTTAATTTAATTTAAATGGGCTGATTTAACTTGGGCTTTTATTTAATTAAGCATAATGGGCTGAATTAAACTCAAATTAAAACAACCGAGCCCGTTTGACTTGTAATTCCCGGCCCTTGATCCCTTGAGTGAACCGAGTGCTCGAGCTCGGTTTACGCGATGAATTTTCAGCTTTCTCGCCACCGCCGGTCCGATGCGGAATGCAACTAACCTATATGAACTTAAACTCTATGCTATGCAATTTTAATATTTTTTGTTTAGGGGTTAAAAAATTAATCCCTAATTTTCTATACAAATTACGACTAAATGGTCGCTAAAATTTAGGTGTCAACATCGCCATTGAGAGAAAATTACGAAAATACCCTTGTCATCAAATAACAAATCGTGGCCATTCATTAACATCTTGATCATGGCCATCAATTGTGGCACATCATCAATCCATGTCATGCATTTTCACCAATGAGGAGTTTGCTTAATGATTAAGGAGTCATTGTGAGCCTTTAGATCAATCAAAAGGCCTAAATTGAAACCATTTTCAAATTTCCCTCCAAAAAACCCCATATATAACTAGTTTCTCTCTCTCTCTCTCTCTCTCTCTCTCTCTCTCTCCCCTAAAAATACACATTCATTTTCAGATTGTACACACACACTCTCTCTCTTTCTCTCTCTCTCTTGGCCGAGAAGCCCAATCTCCATGCCGATGGTGAAGCCGGCCAATTCCGACGCTCTTTTGGCCATCCGACGGTGTCCAAATCGTGACCAAGCCTTGTGACCACCACCTCCGACTTCCTCATAGTCTCAAGGTGGTCAACATTTACCTTAAGGCTCACTGGAGTTCCACCGATTGGCTAATCTTCCTCCATTGCTTGCCGAAGTCCATAATCCGAGGTAGGTTTCAAAGAGCGTTTGAATGATCCATTTCACACGATCAATCACGGATCATTCATGATTATAGTAAAAAATTGAAGTCTATACTTCAATCTATAATCAAACTTCAATGTGAATTGTGATGAAATAGGCTCATCGATGGTTAATTTTCCGAGAAATCAAGTTAGGTTGCATGTTTAGGAAATTCAAGTATAAACTCCTCATGTTTATGCGATTTTGATTTTAATTTTGGTGATAGCATGTTAATCTAGCTTAGAACTTGCATGTCAACATGATCAAATTAGAAATCTAGTTTAGTATGTTCGTTGTTTGAGTTTGTGCTTTCATTTTCCCCTTGCATGTCTCGGCTGAATCCTATAGATAGGTGATCAATCATGTTTTTTTATGTTGATTATGCTTAGATCGGTCACTAGTTGAACATATGTCAATTTGAGCTAGTTCTGTGTTGATTCGATGATGATCAAGCATGTTCCAATGAATGTTTTAGGTGATCAGTGAAGAACATGATGAATGTTGTTGAATGACGATGAATGTAACTTGAATGTGCTTATGATTGCTGGAAATATGCATGAGAATGCACGAGAGCGTTTGATTGCAAGTTTGATGATGAATATAGATTTTCTAGAAATTCGGAGTGATTCTGACCTCTCTGTGTTTGTAGATGTACAGGAATTTGTCGACATAATTTCGAAAAATCTTGTGAGATATCGCTATTTGCTGAGATCGAGAGCTTTCCAACGATATAAAGTTTGTGAAAATCTGACTTCGTTTGATCCAAAAATTCGCATCCACAAAGTAGCAAAAAGTGTTTGCACTTGATCTAAAAAACTGATCTCAGTTTGTTCCGAATTTATTTTGCAAAAATAAAATAGTAGGAGGCCTTTTCTGGAAAAAAATCAAAACTGGAACGTTGTTTATTAGGGTCTTAATTGCTAGACTGGTAAGCTTGAGGTCATTTAAGCAAGATTTAGGGGTCATTAAGTGCAAAATATCAGACACGGTCAATTCGGACAACAAAACTATTTGCAATATAATACCTGGAAGAAACCTGCAAATTTGGCATAATTCAAGGGTTTATCTGCAAAAAGCAAAAGAATAAAAGTCAAAGTATACAGTTAGGACAAACTGCATGTAAAATTTCAAACCATTTTGACTTAGTTTGTTATTTTGCCTGCATTTTTTTCAAAATCGGGTCAAAGCCTGGTCAATTTCAGGGCAGCGGGTCTAAATTATTTCCGGGTTGTTCGGGTTACATTTGGGCGAAGAGTCTTCAATGAACATTAAACTACACATCTTAAGCTTTTTTAATGATATCTGAATTATTCAATCGGTAAGTCATTGAGTCACTTAATTGATTCAAAACGTAAGTGATTAGAATCAGTCTAATAATTGAATAAGTGATCTTATGGCTTACTAATTGATTGATTGCTTCACAAGGCCAATTGGCCTAATTGAATGCTTAATTAAGCTTTGCATGTGATTTTTAGATGTATGATTAGGCTTGCGACGCATGTTGATCGGTGGGTAGATTAGTGGGTATAATTAGAATTAATTAGCGATTAGTGGTACTAGCCTATTGCTTTGTGAACACAAGTGGAGGCCAATTATTACTAATCTTAATCAATAAAACCCTAGTTGAGTGAGAGGTGACTTGGGAAAATCGAAGTGCATGGGTAATTCCAAAGCTGAAACCGAGGATATCAATTTTCGATTGAGTGAACTTTGCTAATCTTTTGATTTGCTTGAGTGCATGTTATGCCTTCGAATGATTGACTGGTTGAATGGATGAAACGGACACCCTTAAGTAGTGGTCGAAGACGGCGCCCAAGGAGGAGGAGGCCGAGAGCTTGAATCCGATGACCGGAGTTCCCGATGTTATGTGGCGGTCCTTAATCTAGTCTAGCTTAGATTAGTTTAGAATAGTCTTAATTGGGCTAGTTTAAACATTAATAGGATAATTAGTATAGGCTATAGCTAGTAAAACCAATTAGACTTACCGTCACTTTTAAGAAATGATTAGGATAGTTTAGATCACCATTAATGAAATGATTAGAATTAGGCTCACTCTAGATAGGATTAGTCTCTAAATTCCAAGCTTCCGATGGATCCTGTCTCGAGGCTCTAACGAGGCTATGTAATATTCTGACTTGTATCAGGTTTTTCCATTTTCGCATCTACTTTAGAAGTTCTTTCAATTTCTTGAGTGTTTACTTACTGCACCACCTTTTAATAAATTGACTGTTAATTTCTTTTCTGGTTGGAGAAAGGATTAGCTTAGGAACATAATGAACCCTACAAAAACATTTGCTTGCTCAGTTACTGGCTTTGATACCTTTAAGATCATAAATGATAATCAGGAGTGAATGACCACTTAGATAAAACATCATTTCAAGTTAGAGATACCAAAAGAGCGCTAATAGGAACATTACGTAAACAAGTCCTCGGCTCAATCTCTGGTTGCGTAGAAATTAAGACGACACTCCCGTGTCTTAATTGGTTTTTAGCCAATCTACTTGTGCCAACTCCTAGAAATCCATAGGCTAAAAAGAACTTAAAAACTGAAATGTCCAATGTCATGCAAGGTAAGGGGTTGGGAGAATCCGCGCTCGTAATGAATGGACCATTCGAACCATCTTATTGGTAACGCTTCTAAATCTTTCAAAGTGTCCCCAACCTTATCGTCGAATGTGCTTTAGGAGGGTTGTGACACTCATACGTGTAGAGACATTTCGTAAGTTACAATTATTGTCCCAAAGCAAAAATAGAATGACACTATTTCATGCTCGATATTTCGCAGCAAAACCTTGCCATAATCAACTTCAAGAAAAAAGCAGGAATAGTTGAACTGGAATGCCCTTCTCCCATTGAGCTTGGGGATTCATAATCTCACAGCAGACAGCCCCGGACAGCAACTTCTCCGAATCATAACTAATCGTATCCTCATCATAAACACCACCGCTACTGGTCGTTGTTGGCTTGTTGCAGCTGCCTTACTGCTGAACAACTCATCGCTTGCGTTTGTCACCACTGATCGGAGCCACGTCATCGCCATCGTGCCCGGACTTACCCACGTGGTCTATCACCTCCTGGTCCGCGCTCACCTGTAGCTGCAGTGCAAACTCGAGGCCCCGCACAACGTCGTTCATGGATGGCCGGTTGGCCCCCTCGTCCTGCAAGCAGCTCATGGCGATCTCGCAGAACTTATTGAGGCACTTGGGGGCGATCGCCCCCTTCAGGTGCGGGTCCACGATCATTTCGACAGTCCTGCTCTTGCAGCAGCTTTGGGCCCAGGCGGCCAGGCTGATCTGATTCTTCGGGGCCGTCCGGTTCACGGCGGGCCTCGCACACAGCACCTCGAACAGCACCACGCCGAAGGAATACACGTCGGATTTGTCAGTCAGCTGCTGGCAACTGCAGTACTCGGGGTCGAGGTACCCGAAGGTGCCCTTCACGACCGTGCTGACGTGCGTCATGGACTCGCTCGTGGGCCCGACCTTCGAGAGCCCAAAGTCGGACACCTTGGCAACCCACTTGTCGTCGAGCAGGATGTTGGTCGTCTTCATGTCGCGATGTATGATGGTGTGCTGGGCACCGCTGTGGAGGTAGTGTAGCCCACGCGCGGCGCCCGTGCAGATCTCGAGTCTCTGCTTCCAGGGGAGTGGGGGATTGTCGGTATTGTATAGGTGGTCGCGGAGGGTCCCACGTGCCATGTAGTCGTACACGAGGATCATCTCTCCCGCATCGTGGCAGAACCCGATCAGGGAGACCAGGTGGAGGTGCCGCAGCTGCGAGAGCATCTGAATCTCGGTCATGAACTCGTGGAGGCCCTGCTGTGACCCCGAGTTCAGCCGCTTGATTGCCACTTGGGTGGCCCCGCCGTCGACATAGCCCTTGTACACATTGCCAAACCCGCCAACGCCGATTATGAACGCCTTGTCGAAGTTGCTCGTGGCCCGTCTGACCTCGGCCAGGGAGAAGTTGGGGCACAGATACGACGGCAGGGATGACCTCTGGGTCTTCGCCGACTTGTTTGCGTCGCTTGAGGTTGAATCCTTTGCTCTGTTTCGTCGCCAGTAAAGGAAGAAAGCCAGGAGTGAGAGCAAGGCGGAGCCCGAAGCTATGCCAGCAATGGTGGCGATCTTTGCTGTTTTGCTGTGGTTCCACGATGCTTTGCTTGCCGGTGAAAGCACCGGCTTTGGGACTGGATCTGGGTTCAACCCGGCGAAATCCCTGTCTGAATTGATGATCTTGAATATCTCGAGGCCATTCAAGATGCCATCAGAGTAAAGAGTATAACCATCTGGAAGCGCGCCCACCGCGACCGAGAGGTTGGTTCTTTTCTTTTGGCCGCCATGCATGTATACTGCATAACTTCTATAGACGGGCACGCCCTTCCCGCTCCAACTAATGATATCCGCACGACCCTCGACCAGTTGTGAATCTATGAAGATCTCGAAAACCCTATCTGTGGGGTTATTTATCTCTATCTGGAACTCGCAAAAGTGTAACCGGACCAAGTAGTAGAACTCTGTATCCACCTCGATGGACCACGTGAGGTTGTAGCTCAGATTGATTCTTTTGAGTGTTCCCATAGTCCTTGCCGTTTTGTACACGGGATCTGGAGCCGTGTAATTTGGCACTTGGTCACTGTAACTGAGTTGGATACTCGTGTTAACCGGCAAAACTCCGAGGTACGAAGAAGTCACATAGTCGTCATCTGGGTCCCAGGTCCTGTACATTCCCGTGTCACCGGCTGAATCAATAGAATTTCCTCCGACGTTCAAGCGCTTCACCATTGCGAGGGCATCAGTGGTACCGAACACGGTCGTGCTGTAGTAGAGACTGTAGGGCATGGAAACGACTTCGATTCCATTCACGAAAGCATAAGCGTCTGAATTACCAGGACTGGGAGTGAACGTTATGTTCAATAGCTGGTCCTCTCCAACAGTTAAGCAGAACTCTTTATAGAAGCTCGAGGCTCGCGGGGTGGTATAATCAGCCAAGAGGGAAGCGCTGAAGTTGCGGAGCAGAGTGACGCCGGCGGCCTCGACCGAGAACAAAGAATCCGTGCTGCGGAAGTTGAGGTAATCGGAAGGGAAGAAGTGGAGGCGAACGAATTTGGGCCCTGCGGTGGTGACGTGGAAGGTGTAGGCGAACTCGGAGCGGGAGAGGCGAGCAGTGTAGTATGGGACCAGGAGGACAGAGGGATCTAAACTGTTTGCCCTTGCAATGATAGAGGAGCGAGTTTTCTCAATTGGAGAGTACCTCGAACCTTCCTCGGCATCTCCAATCCAAGTCCGTTTGTCCACAGTGGAGTTGCTGGAGGAGCCACAGTCGACGGCGATCTCATCGGTCGGCAGGTAAGCGCCAACGTTGTTGCCGGTGACTGAGACCGTGAGCGCTTCCAGCGAGACGGAGACGACTATGAATAGCAGAAGTGGCGGTTTCATGTTCTTCATCTCGCTGCTTGATGACAGAGAGGGGTCGCAGTTGAATCGATGGAAAGAAGTTCACAAGGAGAGCGGAATCTTGGAGATGAACCAGTCTTAATCATGGGGAATTAGGAAGGAGCGCGGAAGAGAAGGCCAGCACTAGTGGCAAAGACTAGTGGAAGACCAAAGTCGTCGCTAAAATATCTGCGATGAGAGGTAGAGCCCTCGCCTATCGCAAGAAAATCAGCAAACGGGGTTTGTACTCTTTCGGGTGCGCTTTTCGTGGAAGGCTTCATTGCTTAGAAAGATGGGGCCAGTGTTTGTAGTCTCGAAAATTCCGCGTAGAAATTGGTTTGGTTTGTAGTAGCAAGTGTTTGCGGTTTGATTCATTCAAAGGGTTGGAACGGGCAGTCCAAAAAAAAAAAGAACCAGCTAGCGTTTGGACAGTACTGCTATAACCTTCACATATTAGTAGCCCCATAGCTTGGACGGTACTGCTGTCACCTTCACGTATTAGCAGCCTCCTCTAAGAGGAAAAATTACCAAAAAATAGTTAAATCTATCGTAATTATGTTAATTCAATCGTAAATATTTTTTTGACCAATTAAATCCTAAACATTTTACATTTGTGCCAATTCAATCCATCCGACAAATTTTTACTGGCTTGCGCTTACATGGATGCTGACCGTTTTACGTGGTATGACCAATTCTAACGTGGATAATTTTTAAATTTATTTATTTTTCTTTTCTTTCTCTTTCTTTCCTTCTTTCTCTGGCCAGTCGCCGAGGTCCGGCGAACGGCCAGAGGCTAGGGCAGTGAGGTTGAGCTCGCCCTCACCGTTACTTGGCGAGGGTTGCCGGGCCAGGGGAAGAAGGAAAGAAAAAAAAAAGAAAGAGAAAGAAAAGGAAAAAAATAAAAATAAAAAATTCTAAAATATATTAAAATATTATTAAAAATTATTTGCGTTAGTGTCGGTCACGCCACATAGGACGGCTGACGTCCATGTCAGTGGCGGCCAGTCAAAATTAATCGGATGGACCGAATTGTCACAAACGCAAAATCTTTATGACTCAATTAGCCCAAAAAAAAAAAGGTTTATGACTGAATTAACATAATTGCAATAGATTTAAGACTTTTTTGATAATTTTCCCCACCTCTGAGTCTATCGAAACAAGCTGCGGTTGAGGTACATTTGGTGTATCCTACACCGGTTTAATCCACCAATGCTTAGCCGGAGACTTCTAAGGTTTTAATCTAGTGCCGTATCCTCACAAATGTCAGCCGTTAGATTGAGATGGAAGGGCCCAGACCGTCGAATGATCCAGTTGCAGCCGGTTGCCAGTTTTCACAAGAGGTCGGACGTCCGATCCACTAGAAAATGGACGTCCGACAGTTAAGCAGAACTCTTTGTGGAAGCTCATGGAGCCGTTATAATTGGAAAAGAGGGAAGCGCTGAAGTTGCGGAGCAGAGTGTGGCCGGCGGCCTTGACCGAGAAGAACGAATCGGCACGGCGGAAGTTGAGATAAGTCGAAAGGGAAGAAGCGTAGGCGAATTCAGAGCGGGAGAGACGAGCAGTGTCGTATGGTATGCCGCTGTGGAAGGAGGGAGATGAACGGTTTGCACTTGCAATGATAGAGGAGCGAGTTTCATCACTTGGAGAGTAGCTCGAACCGTCAGCGGCATCTCCGATCCAAGTCCGGTCGGACACAGATGAGTTGCTGGGGGAGCCGCAATTGACAGCGATATCATTAGTCGGCGAGTATGCGTCAATGTTGTTGCCGGTGGCCGAGACCGCGAGTGCTTCGAGCGAGATGGAGATGAAGAGGAATAAGAGAAGTGGTTTCATGTTCTTCATCTCGCCGTTTAACGACTGGGAGGGTCGTAGCTGAATCGATCAATGGAAGTTGACGAGGATGGTAGAATCTTGAAGATGAACCAGTTTTAATCATTGGGAATTAGGAAGGGGTGAGGGAAGGGAAGACTAGACAAGATTAGAGGGAAAATTACTAATTAGCCCTATACCAATTGTACATATTTCAATATAGTTTTGAAGATTTCAATTTTATCAACGTAGTGGTAAATCTTTTCACAATATTCTACTATAATCTTTCCGGTCAATTTTCGCCTGAAAATACTGACGTAGCGGTCCAGTCATGTTTGATTGTTCTATATGGTACAGCTGGTCATCTGATGTAGATAAATTGAATCGAAATGTAGTCGTTTTGCATATTTTTTTGAATTCTTTGAATTTTTTTCTTTTCTTTTTTCCTTTTTCACGCTACTGTTCATCTTGTTTCCACAACTTGAATCTCTTAGGGAAACATGGTAAATCGTTGTAAGAAAGTTGATTTTTCTAGAGTTAAGCCGAGCTGGCGGCGGTGCTACCGGAGCTCCTCCATGAACTTTGGAAAAGCGTTATGCTTCGGTAGATCTATTGGCGGTGCTAACAAACGCGTCTCGATAATTGACCTTGTAATGCTCAAATTTCGGTGAACATCGCTAAAGCCGGCCACACGCGAACTAGTCGCATGGATCCCAACGACCTCGGCCGAGCCCATTTTGCCGCGGTCGGCCCCAATCTGCGCGTAGGCGCAAGAAACCGAGGCAAATGGCGAAGACTCATTGGAATCAAAACGCCACCGCCACCGCCACCGCCACCATAAGCTTTCTTCGTTATGTCCTTCCATTTTTTGTATTGTCATCTTTGAAGGAGCGACGTAGAAATTGATTTGCACTAGCAAGTCTTTCAATCTCATCTGGTCAAAGGGAAATTATCGACCGTTAGATCAAGATGAAAGGATCTCGGCCGTTGAATCTGGCAATGGTCGCCAAAGGTCGAAGAGGTCTAACGCACTCACAGTGGAGTTTTACAATGCACCAGCAAACAAGCGTCTGACCCACTAGAAAATTGATGTCCGGTGTAGTAACAATCATATTTAATGACGTTTTACTATTTTACATTCTTGTTACGAATATTGTTGTAAACCTTTGTAAACTATCGTAATTCAAAAATATTCAAATTTACGGTGCTAAGTTCTTGATTACAATGTTACGATGAAATGTCTAAATAATTTAGAACCGGTCGTAACAAAAAAAAATTCCAAATTTAGTACATTTTGTTCATAGTTACAATGGATTGTCGTAAACTTTCGCAAAGGGCCATAATGAAAAAAAATACAAAATTACCACACTTTGTTAGAAGCATTGTAGCCCTATGTAAATAGACGTAGTTGAAAAAAATCCAAATATACGACGTTTTCCTCATGTTTATGAAGACAGAACTCTATATAAATTATCTTAATAAAAAAATTATTTGAATTTATAACGATTTCTTCTTTTCATAACCCTTTATATACTATCATCATTAAAGAAAATTTAAATTTATATGTTTTGCGCTGCGTTGTAACTCTCTGTAAATCACCATAATCAATAAAATATTCAAATTTATGACGTTTTGTTCTTAATTATTACAAACCGTCGTTAACTTTGGAAACCATAGTCAATTCTCTTCTTGGTTAAGAAACATTTGTAAACCATCCTAATTTTGTGAAAAAAAAAAAACCCAAATTTACGATGCTTTACTCTTGGTTACAACAGTGTCTCTTTGTGAATCGTCGTAATTTAAAAATATCCAACTTTAAGATGTTTTGTTCATTGGCATGACGGATCATAGTAAACCTTTGTCAGTGGTCGTACTATAACAGCACAAATGATAATTATTTTGTTCCAGAAATATATTTTTCTATTTCTATTTTCTGGACGAATTTTTAAAAAAGAAATACGAGTTTAATAACGACACAAAATTTCTCATCCCGGAGCATAAATTTGTTTAATAACGACACAAAACTGCTCCCTCTTATGCTCTTTTCCATTCATTGACGGGCGATGACTGGCGGCGGCTTGAGGCGACAGGCAATGGGAGGCCAGTCGGGGGTCGCTGGTAGCGACGACGGCGGGAGATGAGGGCGAGCGATAAGAAGAGTTTTTATTTCTCTTTTTGTTCTATAAATAGAAAAGTCTCATTTCTATTCCAAACCTATTTCTGGACTAAAAATTTGTTCCAGAAATAGAAAAATGAAATTACCTTACCAAATGGATTTATGTTCCAAACTTATTTCCGAGAACAGAAAAATAGAAAAATAGAAAAACATAATGATTATCATGTGCGCCCTAAATTATCCAAATTTATTACGTTTTACCCACGGTTACAACGAAACATTGCAATTCTTCATAAATCGACGTAATTGAAAAAATATCTAAATTTATGACGTTTGTTCTTAGTCATTACATATCATCGTAAGCTTTTTTTTTGGTGTAAAATGTCCGTATTATAGAGCGAATGAAGTACAGCAGCTTAGGAGTATCCCCCGGCATTACAAATGGTGCTAATAGCTCAAGAAGATGGAGGTGGGAAGTCTCCACATAGTAGCCAATACAACATTTGTCTGACAAGGTCTAATGTTCACTCTACCTCTTACATTTTTACACACGTTGGCCAAAATAATATAGATATCAGTTCACTTGTTTTGAAACCGTTTTTGGTTACGCTCCATCCATATGCCATAAATGGTTACTAGAAAGGATACCTTAAGGAGTCTAGCCGCTAAATTTTTGCCTTTTGTTGCCTAATCATCCATTGAAGTTCCTCATTCCATCCTTCCAAAGGACGCATAATCCCCTGTTGTGCAAGGATAGTGCGCCATAAGCTGCCTGTCCACTTACACTAGAAGAATAAATGTGTTCTGTCTTCTATACCGGCCTTACAGAAGTTACACTGGATATCAATTGAGATCATCCATTGGACGCCGATTTCTGCCGTCGGTAATATGTTTCTGCAAACAAGCCAGCCAATAAAATTGTGTTTGCTAATATCGCTGGTCCAGATTAGGTCATACCACTCCACAACCGATCCCGCATGTCTGAGTTTATCATAAATTTCTCGACAACAGTATCTTGAGCTATGGATAATCGAGATTAAAACATGTCGTAATTTAAGGAGTACCTTGGGCAGTATGGCTTGTAGTTGGCGATATCATCGTAAACCTTTGCAAATCATTATTGTTAAAAATATTTCAAATTTACAGCATGACGTTCTTAATTACAACTAATCATCGTAAAAATTTGTAAATCATTGTAATTTTGAAAAATTACAAATTTGCTACGCTTTACTCTTAGTTACGACAGGCTGGCGTAGTTAAAAAAATCGAAATTTACGACATCCTGGTCTTGGTTACCATGAAACATCGTAAACATTCATATGTTGTCGTAATTAATAAAAAAACCAAGTTTATAACGCTTTGCTCTTAATTACAAAACGACTGTCGTAATTAGAAAAAAATAGAAATTTACGATGTCCTGGTCTTGGTAACTTTGGTACCATTTATAAACCGTGGGAATAATAATCCAAATTTATGATGCTTTGCTCTTGATTACGATCGATCGTCGTAACTATTTGTAAACCATCACAATTCAGAATATTCAAATTTGCGACGTTTTGTTTTTTATTACCATAGCCAACATAAAACCATTTAAAATCGTCGTAAATAAGAGATTAATAAATATGTCGGAGCTTCGCTCTTGATTATGATGAAATACTGTAATTAAAAAAATTCTAAATTGACGACGTTTATAATTACAACGGACCATCGTTAACCTTCGTTGTGACGCCTCAAAATGTCATTTGCGACACGAGATCTTTCCTTAAATTATTTATTATTCTTTTAAACATGCAGAAGCATAACAAAATAATCATATCACTTGGTAACAAAAATTTAACAATTCTAAATAATAGACATATGTATACTTCTCCTTTTAATGCTCATCTTCCAAGTACTAATACAAGTACCCAAAAAGAAATAGACAACAACGCATTAATTTTGGGAAGAAGGTCAGGTCAATTATCGTCACTACACCCATACTTAATCAAAAGCGAGCCTGTATACTTTTTCCAAACCATCGCCAAACCCAAGGGACCATTGAACTCTTTCAAAGTTCCTACCAACTTGCTATTTATATCAGCGTACCAAGCAATGAAACGGTGGGGGAGAAACTCAAGTAATTCCACATCCACCTGGACAATAGAAATACATTTAACGTACATTATCTCGAATCCTGGTACTAGTATATCTTGATATCTCCATTCTATATATACGAGTACTCCAAAGCATAGTGCGGAAGGATAATCCATCCTCCAAATCTAAAAAATAAAAGAGTGAGCCAAAATTTAGTAAAGGAAGTCTTTAAGTTTAAGGTAGAAGATCATATTGCCACTTAATATTGTATCAACAAAATAAAGTGATTTCAAAACGAGAACTAAATGATTATGTATGGTAAATGAAGGACTAAATGCACTATCTTACCCATCATGACATGTAGATGAAAACAATTATATAATGTTGCATAAACATTATTCACTCAAATGCAAGTAGAATGTGTAATAATTTCCGGTTCCAGCACTTCAAAATTCTTTACCTTCCAAGCCATTTACTTTTATATCCATAATCAACGAAAGACCTTTCATAACCTTTGCTGATTTGATTGATCCAATCAAATTTTTTTTTGCCTTTTCGATGAAATAGTTGTTAACTTCTGGGGTGTCATGCTTGTTACCACCCCATCTCTACAATTACAAGGGCAATGTCACGACGGTCTTTCCACCCGAAAGGCGTAGTCTCAAATATAATTATCATAAACATGTTATTGAAATATATACATCCATATATTTGACAAAGGAGTCATCTGATTACATTATTAGAGTTTTTAAAATCCATCAAAAGAATATGTACATTTCCAACTTATAACTAAACTCAAAGGTTCACTTAGACATAAACAACTCATACAAAAAAATCTCACTATCAAAATGTCCCGCTGATAACATAAACGCTCTCGTCCTGCTTGCGGCTAGTTGAAAAACTTGAAAAACAACTAAGATGAGTGGAACGAACAACCACAACCTAGTTAGGAGTACATTTCTTCTAAGCAGATTGAACATTCACTATGCATCTTTATAAAATGATATCATAACTCATCAATCCCAAATCTAGTATATGATATATGTAAAATATAAAAGGTGGATTTTCAATAAAACTTTTTACATATCATATCAATCAACAATATTAACTCAACAATAACAAATCAACCATCAATGGTTCATTCTATTGATCAATATCTAGCAAATCAAACATTAATGGTCTACTCCATTGACTAATTTAATGCTCAATATTTAACTATGGTCACACTTAACACCAGTGACAAAGGCGACCAAGTTTACCCCATTGACTAGGTCTACCTATATTAGCCGGTAGTTCGGCCCTAAGGGACGTCCTAATCCCTCAACAGGTACTAATCATAGCGATATAAGCATAATGCACAAACGCTATTCTCCAATAACCCACAAATTAAATTCAAAATCCATCTCGATACTCAAGTTCACTAACCAACTCATATAAATCTTGCAATTCAATTCACCAGACATATTAGCTTTCGTAAACCATATTCATAATACAAGAACTTTTCGTAATTCTTTCATAAAAGGTTTCGCAAATCATCCACAGGCAATCAAGTCCAGCTATAATCAAAGATATCTTGCCTTTTAAAATAGGCAATCTAGTTTTATGCATTTAATATGCCCTAAGTACCCCTTTTTCTTTTCAAAGAAACATCAAACCATGTGATGCATTTTTAATTTATAATATATATTTCTATCATTTTCAAGACATGAGTTTTACAAAACTAAAGAAAAGATAAGTACCACTCACTTGGGAAAGCTAAAAGCCAATCTACAAAGGTTACTCATATCGACGAACTCGTATTTCTATCTATTAACCGAAAAACGATATCAAAACCAAGTAAAACTCTATTTTAACTAGCGGCTCGAGTAGACCACGCTTATTCATCGATAAAATGACTTCTATGCACTAACGAAGAAACTCGTTTATGGCGAACATTCATCTTTGCTGGTTATACGTATTATCCGTTACGCGTAACTCGCATGCGAAACTTTAAAAATTTGCGCACAAACTGTACTTCAGAATTGATTTTCGTCAAACCCATTGGCTCCACAATGCCCTAAACTATCATTTCCATATAAATACATAGCTTAACAACTCCTAAATTGAACCTTGCAGTTCAAAATTTATATGACTTCGAATTAATGACTTAAAAATTGCTCCAATTAGATGAATAAAGGGCTCCAATTCTTACCAGTTGCAAAACAAAGTTGATTTGGCTTGTCGGGACGTTTGAAAACATATAAGCGCAAAAAATTCTCTCTTTTCTTCATTTCCTCTTTTCCAATGGTTTTAACGTCCAACTCTCCCTCCTTGCCTTTCTTGTTTTCGCCGGCGTCCTTTTCTTCTCTTCGTTTAGCGCCGACTGCAGATATAAAGAGAAGTGGGCTTGAGTCCTATGAAATTACTTGGGCTTCGGCTATTATTTTAATAACTTGGCCCTAATATTACAATGCTGATGCGATCTGTGCACATCTCAACTCTTTGCTTCCCTTCTTTCGCAATGAAAGGCGTCGTGCACATTTTAAACTCTTGGTCCCCCTTCTTTTGCGATTAAATGACGTCTTTGTGTGACCATCGGCTTTGTCTCTTTGCACTTCATTTTCGTTATGCTTATCACGGTAAATTGGATGAAGTGCTTCAAGTCTCATAGCATCTGCAATATATCATATGGTGCTTTATGAAATGAGTAGAATTGTTTGGATGTCCTTGTTCCCAATTGTACAGGCGGTTCAGTTCTAACTTTTGATGTCTGCTCCAAGTAAGCATATCCAATTCATCCACATCTATCAGATTAGATCTAGATGCCTATCTGCAGCTGGTGTTTTCCCCTGGCCACCTCAATGGAAGTCATTGCCCAATGTCTTTTGCCTGTCTCTTTTGAAATTGGTTTTATTGTGCAAGTGGTTCTTATTCCATTCTTGTCTCCCTCGAACATCCTTTTAATTACATCATGAATCATCCCCGGTCTAACAATTTGTTGTGTTCTTTGTACAGACCGCTTTTGTCCAAATAGGCTTGACACTATTCTGACTGAGAAACTATACTTGGGTCCGTGGGTCAAACTAAAGTATCTTTTGCACGATCCTTTAGAACTTTCAAGATTAGAAATATGACTAGCTTGCATTGAAATAGGAGGGCAAAGAACATCCTTTAAAGCCGGGCCTTTCTCCTTAATTCCATTTGGGGGCCAAATTTTCTAAATCTCCATGAATTTGTTGTATTTTTTTGCGAATGCCTAGACATCTAGCTGAGATTATTTAGCATAGCCTTTACTTTTCTATTAATTGACAATAATAGCTAATTGATATTACTCCGTAAAATTTCCCCTATCCTATTCGCTTCACATTGTAAGTACATTCTTAAAGTAGCAACGTAGATGATTTCTCTAAATTGGGTCGTCTATCATTTTTATGTAGACTCATAACTAAAATTTGTTCCATCCATGTTTTCTTCGTAGAGCTGTATATATTGTGAACTTATCATAGATTCTTTAGAACTATGTTTCGCATAATTCCAATTTTTCTTGTCTGCTATCTCGTGCGTAAGTTGCCTTACGATTTCCAAGGGGTTCTCTCATCTATAACTCTTCCTCGAGCATTAGCTGAATGAAAAACACCACTTAATTACAGTATCTCAAACTCGGTTACCCTTTTTATCATATCATATGTATGTTCTCCGCTGAAAGAAATGAAGATTAAGACTACTTTCGTGGAAGTGGGAAGATCCCTCGTCCAATAGACGATCGATTCCGTTTGTTCGATAACTTTTTTTGGAGGGATGAGTAGGCAATTCTCCTAGAATATGGAACGCATGGAGGGTGGACTAATCTTGCTGCAAGCCTGATTACAGGACTTCAACACTGGGAATCACTTGACATTCCTCAATTATCACCCAAGAATATGGGGCTATCAATTCTTACTAAGCTCTTTCCATGCATTCTTATCCCTATCTAACATCCATCAGAATTTGCGCACATTCCTGATGAGTATATATATTTTTTCTACTTAGCAAAATACACAAACTTATACGTGTGGAGGCATTTCGCAAGTTACAATTATTGTCCCAAAGCAAAAAAAAAAAAAATACCCCTATTTCATGCTCGATATTTCGTAGCAAAACCTTGCCGTGACTAACTTCAAGAAAGAACAGCAACAGTCGAACTTGAATGCCCTTCTCTCAACGAGCTTGGGGATTCATAATCTCAGAGAAGACAGCCCCAGGCAGCAACTTCTCCGAATCATAACTAGTCGTACTCTGATCATAAATATCATCGCTACTGGTCGTTGTCGCAGCCACCCTACTATTGCTACTGCTGAACACCTCACCGCTGCCGTTTGTCACGTTGCCTCTGATCGGAGCTGCCTCACCGTCGCTCTCATCGCCGTCGTGCACGGACGCACCCACATGGTCTATCACCTCCTGCTCCGCGCTCATCTGTAGCTGCAGCACGAACTCAAGGCTCCACACAACGTCGTTCATGGATGGCCGCTTGGCCCCCTCCTCCTGCAAGCAGCTCATGGCGATCTCGCAGAACTTATTGAGGCACTCGGGGGCGATCGCCCCCTTCAGGTGCGGGTCCACGATCTTCTCGATGTCGCCACTCTTGCAGCAGCTCTGGGCCCAGGCGGCTAGGCTGATCTGCTTCTTCTGGGCCGTCCGATTCACCGCGGGCCTCGCACACAGCACCTCGAACAGCACCACCCCGAAGGAGTACACGTCGGACTTGTCAGTCAGCTGCTGGCGCCTGTAGTACTCCGGGTCCAGGTACCCGAAGGTGCCCTTCACGACCGTGCTGACGTGGGCCTTGGACACGCTCGTGGGCCCGACCTTCGAGAGCCCGAAGTCGGACACCTTGGCGACCCACTTCTCATCGAGCAGGATGTTGGTGGTCTTCATGTCGCGGTGAATGATGGTGTGCTTGGCACCGGTGTGGAGGTAGTGCAGCCCGCGCGCGGCGCCGGTGCAGATCTGGAGCCGCTGCTTCCAGGGGAGTGGGGGATTGTCGGTGTTGTAGAGATGGTCGCGGAGAGTCCCGCGCGCCATGTAGTCGTACACCAGGATCATCTCTCCCGCATCGTTGCAGAACCCGATCAGGGAGACCAGGTGAAGGTGCCGGAGCTCCGAGAGCATCTCGATCTCGGTCAAGAACTCGTGGAGGCCCTGCTGCGACCCCGGGTTCAGCCGCTTGATCGCCACTTGGGTGGCGCCCCCGTCGACATAGCCCTTGTACACATTGCCGAACCCGCCCACGCCGACAACAAACACCTCGTCGAAGTCGTTCGTGGCCGCTCTGATCTCGGCCAGCGAGAAGTGGCGGCACCGATCCGACGGCAGGTACGATGCCTGGGTCTTCGTTGACTTGGTCGTCGCAAAGGAGACCGGGCCCCACCATGAGGTGCCGTCGCTCGAGGTCGAATCCTTTGCTCTGTTTCGTCGCCGGTAAAGGAAGAAAGCCAGGAGTGAGAGCACCGCGAAGACCGAAGCTACGCCGGCAACGATGGCGATCTTTGCTGTTTTGCTGTGGTTCGATGATGCTTTGCTTGCCGGTGGAGGAACCGGCCGATTATCTTGGACTGGGGCTGGATCTGGGTTCAACCCGGCGAGATTCCCGTCTGGATTGTTGATCTTGAATATCTCGAGGCCATTCAAGATGCCATCAGAGTAAAGAGTAGAACCTTCTGGAAGCGCACCCACCGCCACGGAGAGGTTGCTTGTTTTCTTTTGGCCGTCATGCATGTATACTGCATAATCTCTATAGACGGGCACGCCCTTCCCGCTCCAACTAATGATATCCGCATGATCCTCCACCAGTTGTGAATCTACGAAGATCTCGAAAAGCCTATCATAGGGGTTATTTATCTCTATCTGGAACTCGCAGAAGTGTAACCGGACCAAGTAGTAGAAGTTTGTATCCACCTCGATGGACCACGTGAGGTTGTAGCTCAGATTGATTGTTTTGTCCGTCCCCATAGTCCTTGCTGTTGTGTACACGCTATCTGGAGCCGTGTAATTTGGCACTTGGTCACTGTAATTGAGTTGGATAGTTGTGTTAACAGGTACAACCGCGTTGCCGTAAGTAATCACATAGTCGTCATCTGGGTCCCAGGTCCTGTACATTCCCGTGTCACCGGCTGAATCAATAGAATTTCCTCCGACGTTCAAGCGCTTCACCATTGCGAGGGCATCTGTGGTACGGAAGGTGTATAGCGACATCTGACCTGCCAACTTGATTCCCTCGGTTGGGTCGACGACCGAGTTGTAGTAGAGACGCGCAGGCATGGAAACGACTTCGATTCCATTCACGAAAGCATACGCGTCTGAATTACCAGGAGTGGGAGCAAACGTTATGTTCAATATCTGGTCGTCTCCGACAGTTAAGCAGAACTCTTTAGAGAAGCTCGGGGAGCGGGTATAATCAGCAAAGAGGGAAGCGCTGAAGTTGCGGAGCAGAATGTAGCGACCGGCCTCGACCGAGAAAAAGGAATCGGTGCGGCTGAAGTTGAGGTAATCGGAAGGGAAGAAGTGGAGGCGAACGAATTTGGGCCCTGCGGTGACGTGGAAGGTGTAGGCGAACTCGGAGCGGGAGAGGCGAGCAGTGTAGTATGGTACCTGGAGGACAGAGGGATGTGGACTGTCTGCGTTTGCAATGATAGAGGAGCGAGTTTTCTCAATCGGAGAGTACCTCGAACCTTCCTCGGCATCTCCAATCCAAGTCCGTTTGACCGCGGGGGAGTTGCTGGAGGAGCCGCAGTCGACGGCGATATCATCGGTCGGCAGGTAAGCGCCAACGTTGTCGCCGGTGACCGAGACCGTGAGCGCTTCGAGCCAGACGGAGACGACGATGAACAGCAGGAGCGGCGGTTTCATGTTCTTCATGTCGCTGCTCGATGACAGAGAGGAGGGGTGGGGGGGTCGCGGTTGGATCGATCGAAAGAAGAAGTTCAAAAGGAGAGCGTAAACACGGGGGAATTAGGAAGGAGCGCGGAAGAGAAGGCCAGCACCAGCACTAGCGGTAAAGATTAGTGGAGGACCGAAGTCGTCGCTAAAATATCTGCAATGAGATAGAGCAACTTGCCCATCAAAATCAGGAAGCGGGATTTGGACACTTGCGGGTGCGCTTCTCGTGGAAGGCTTTTAATTGCGTAGAAAGGTCAGGGTCAGTGGCACGGCCGCCGGGTCCCATGCAATAATAATGCTCTCTCCCTCCCTCCCTCAAGGGACCACCACTACCGCCACCACCACCCGCCATTTTCAATTTCAACTTTTGTCGTCTTTCAAGGAGCGACTATCGCGACGCGGTCCGAATCCAAAAGTCGCGAAAATTCCGCGTAGAAATCGGTTTGGTTTGTAGTAGCAAGTGTTTGTGGTTTGATTCATTCAAAGGGTCGGAACACGGGCAGTCCAAAAAACACACCAGCTAGCGTTTGGACGGTACTGCTACTTCACGTGTTAGCAGCCTCATAGCTTGGACTGTACTGCAATGAGCTTCACGTATTAGCAGCCTCTTCCGAGAGGATAATTACCAAAAAAATAGTTATATTATTGTAATTATATCGATTCAGTTTAAATTTTTTTTTGATCAATTAAGTCCTAAATTGTTTGCATTTATACTAATTTAGTCAATCCAACTAATTTTGATTGGTCGACGCTGACATGGATAATTTTTAATAATATTTTAATATTTCTCGAATGTTTTTATTTATTTTTCCTTTTTTTTTTCCTTTTTTTTCTTTTCTTCCTCTTTCTTTTTTTTTTCTTTCCATCTTCCTCTGGCCGGTTGCCAAGGTTCGGTGACTGGCCAGAAGCGAGGTTGAGCTCGCCCTTGTCGTTGCTTGGCGAGGGTTGCTGGCCATGGGAAGAAGGAAAAAAAATAAAGAGAAAGAAAAGAAAAAAAGAAAAAAGAAATAAATAAATCAAAACAATTGAAAAAAATGTATTAAAAAATTATCCACATCAACGTCGGTCACGCAACATAAGACGGCTGATGACCATGTCAGCGCCGATTAGTCAAAATTGGCCAGATGGACTGAATTGGCACAAATGTAAAAGATTTAAGACTTAATTGGCAAAAAAAAAAATTTAGGACTGAATTGGCACAATTACAATAAGTTTAAGACCTTTTTAGCAAATTTTGCCTCCTCTGAGTCTATCAAAACAAACCGCGCAAGTTGAGGTACATTTGGTGTATCGTACACTGAATTAATCCACCAATGCTTAGCTAGAGACTTTTAAGGTTTTAATCTTATGACCATTGAATGAGCCAGTCGCAACCAGTTGCCATTTTTCACACGAGGCCGGACGTCTGATCCACCAGAAAATGGACGTCCGATGTACTAAAAGTGAAATTTACAATGCTTTAAGCACAAGCAAATGGGGCTTTAATCCCCTAGAATATTGACGTCATATCAAGGCAAAAATCAAATTTAATAAAGTTTTATTAGGTTATGTTCTTAGTTACAAGGATTGTTGCAAACCTTTACAAGCCGTCGTAGTCTAAAAGAATTTGAATTTGCGATGTTAAGTTCGTGGTTAGGATGGAATTTCGAAATCTTTGAAAACTATCATAATTAAAAAAAAAATTAAAATTTGCAACAATTTGTTCATGCTTACCTTCGCAAAGCATTGTAATAAAAAAAAATAAAAATTATGACGTTTTTTCCTTATTTATGGCGAACCATCATAAACTTTTGTAAATAGTTGTAATTGAAAAAACATCCTAATTTATGACGTTTTGCTCTTGTTAAGACGTCATAACTCTTTGTAAATCATCCTAGTTAAAGAAATTCTAAATTTACGGCAATTTCTTTTTTTTTTTTTTATGACAAACGGTCGTAAATGTTTGTAAAATTATGATGTTTTGCGCTTGGTCACGACGCAACATCGTAACATTTTTGTAAATTTATCATAATTAAAAGAATCCAAATTTACGATGTTCTATCTTAGTCATTATAGACCGTCGTAAACTTTTGTAAGCGGTTGGAACTAAAAAAGTTCCAAATTAATGACATTTGGTTCTTGGTTACGACATTAACTCTTTCTAAATTGTCATAATTGAAAATTTTCCAAGTTTACAATGTCTTGTTCATTGTTATGACGAATCACCATAAACCTTTGTAAAAATGGTCGTAATTTAAATTACCCAAATTTGAGATTTTTTACTCTTGATTGTGACAAAACATCGTTACTCTTTCTTAGTCGTCACAATTGAAAAATACCCAAATTTATGATGTTTTGTTCTTAGTCATTATAGACCATCGTTAACTTTTGTAAATTGTAGTTACCATAAAAAAATTTCCAAATTTACGATGTTATGTTCTTGGTTACGATGTAATGTCATAAACATTTGCAAGCCGTTGTAATTAAGAAAAATCAAAATTTACGACATTTTGTTCTTGGTCACAACATATCATCATAAAAATTGGTAAATATTCGTAATTTTGAAATAATCCAAATTTGCAACACTTTGATCTTGGTCACGAACAGTCGTAACTAATAAAAAAGTCGAAATTTACAATGTTTTGATCTTGGTTACGATTAGTAAACATCCATAAACCATCATAAATCACTACAAAAAAACATGAATTTTGCCACGGAAATTTGCGACGGAATTTGCCACGAAATAAAAATTCGTCGCAAATTAGCGACGGAAAATAAATCCGTCGCAAATTAGCGACGGAAAATTGGTCGTCGCTAATTTGCGACGGAATTAGCGACGGATTTATTTTCCGTGGCTAATTTATGCAATGAAATTTACTAATTTGCGACGAAATTAGCGAAGGAGAAAAAATTCCTCGCTAATTTGCGACGGATTTTGCGACGAAAACGAATTCGTCGCTAATTTGTAATTTATGACGGAAAATAACTTTCATGATATCCAACCCCACCGTCAATTTCTCTCTCTCTCTGTACTGATTCCTCATATCCCCCCTCGCTTTTCTCCCTCTTTCGTTTCTCTCAATAAACCTATCCGTGCGCGCACAAATCAATCTCGATAAAGCTTTTCTACCGGTAAGTATCATAGCTAACTTCATGACTAATTGGCGACGAATATGGTTCGACGCAAAACTATTCGTCGCTGGATTCAAATTTTTTTATTTTATTGACTATTTTTTTGTTTTTTTTTTCCTAACTTCTTCGTCGGTTGCCGGACCGGCAAGGCCGCTCGGCCTCCCCCCATGGCTGCCGACCTTGCCCAGGTGTGGCGGTCGACCTCGTCGTCGCCCGGTGGGCGACGACGAGGTCGACCGCCACACCCGGGCGAGGCCGCTCGGCCTCCCCATGGCCGTCGACCTCGCCGTCGCCTAGATCCGGGCGACGGCGAGGTCGACTGCCACACCTGTGCAAGGCCGCTCGGCCTCACCCATGGCCGGCGAGGTCGAACTCGCCGGCCTCAGCCGGTCGCCGGACCGGCGACCGGAGAAAAATATAGGGGAAAAAAACATAAACAAAAAAAAATTCAAAAAATTCAAAAAAAATAATAAATTATTAAAAAATGAATCTTAAGTGATTTTTCTTTTTTTTAGGTACGTGTCCATTTGAAAGTCTCGCAATCCAAGTGAGCGTTGCAATTCTCATCAAATTGACCACTTTCTACTATAAAGATTTCAGTCAAATATTTGGGTAAGTCTTCTTTACATGGTAATTTTTTCTTTTTTTTCAATTTCAAAGTAATTGTTGCGTCAAAAACAAATTTTTAATTTTCATAATTTTATGGTTTTAATTAAGAACAGTAGATATGATATTTTTAATATTTTACGAGATTTTTTTATTTTTATACAAACACAATGCAAAGAGACAGGGCTTGGATGTATAATAAGAACTTACCTGTGTCGCGCCACGCTCTCGCGTGCTTTCTGATGGAGGTATTTTTCTATACGGGCCTCTCCCAGACCATACCTCACCTGACAGCGGGGTTTGTTTGATCTAAATTTAAACTTGGAGTCGCCACTAGTCATTTACGGTAGGTCGACTAGAAACCTAATTGTGGTACGGGAGAAGTACCGTAATCTTACGAACCAAAGATTCTGGATAAGGGACTTGGTTACATTAACGATCCCAAATTGAGACTATTAACGCCCTTTCGGTACCTAAGAACGATATGGCATGTCTAGCGTATCACACGGATCCCTAAGGTCACTTCACTAATCTATCCATGGACAATCAATTAAACATCCAAAAATCAACTGCACATCCAATGGCAAATCAATCACAACAACCCTAATTTGGTCACTAGAAATGAAGGCTTACCAAAACCCTAACAAAGCTTTAATAGCTTGTTCATTTTATTTTTTTAATGTTTAGGGTTTTTAGGGGTTTTGGCCTTAAATTTGAAATTTTCCAAATTATGCCACTTAGGCATTTTGGAAAATCCAAATTTCACTTTTCATGACTGGCCACAATGATTTTTAATCATTCTGTGGATTTTCAAAAATTTTGAATTTTTTTTTAGTGCCATTTGGACACTTTAAAAATTCCAATTTCATTTTTTATGACTGGCCACAATGATTTTCAATCATTCCGCGAAATTTTAAAATTTTTGATTTTTTTTTCGGAAAAAATTTTTAAACCGAGAAATGATTCTTTTTATGATTTTCTGGCAATTTTTGTGAATTTTCCAATTTTTCAATTTTTTATTGATTTTTCAGAATTTTTAAATTTTTATTTGTATTTTCTGAATTTTTTTTTTGAAATTTTTATGAATTTTCCGAAAATTTTTCTATTTTTCTGAATTTTCTGTAATTTTTCTGATTTGGATACATTTTCTGCCAAATTTTCTAATTTTTTTTATGATTTTTGTGATTTTTGTGATTTTTTTTAGGATTTTTTTATTTTGTATTTTATTTTTTTTTATTTTTTTAATTAATTTTTTTTAAATTTTCCCGCCGGGGTTGAACCGGACCGGACTGGTTCAGACCGGTTCGGCCGAGATCGAACCGGCCGTCGCCGGCGCCGATCATCCTCTCCGGCGGGCACGGTGCCAAAACGGCACCGTTT